AAAAAAAAAAGAAAAAAAAAAAAAAACAGAGTGACAATAATGGAAAAAGATAAAAATAGGTGTACTCACGTCGTCAAATAGTTTGGTGGCGTCCTTTCCTACGCCCTTCATCAGTTCGGGCACACCACCAGGATGGAAAGCCAAGTAGCGCGAGACGTTGAAGACGATGCCTACAATACACAAATCGTAACATTAACGAGCGCATAAAAATGCAAAATATCGGTTTGACGGGAAAGCGACGCGACATCGCGATTCATCAACTCTCCCCATAGTCTGGTACAGTTCGTCTGTCTCCCTCTGATCGAGCTTGAAAACTGATAATAACAGGTGAACGCGCAGTTAGACAACATCGGTAATGTCCGCAGATGGAGAGAGATAACTCAATTTCTCCGGACCCAAAAGCGCTCACATGCACAGTAGTATAGAAACGGCGACAAAAGCGGTGTATTACAATGCAAAACTACCGGATAAGTTGTGTACGGGGGGATATTTGAGTTTTGGCTTGCCTCGTATCGCGATCCAGGCATCGGTCTCTTTGTCGTGTTTGGCCAGCTCGGCAGGTGTGACCGTTAGGAGTTTGCCGCCAACTCCGGTCAAGTCCACCCCGGACGAGCCCAGCCGAATCCAATCCATCAGACTGTGGCCTGGAGCCAGGGCTGTTTTGTTGCGCGGGTTACCTGCAATTTTATCAACAACACACACGGACACGTGACATACCTCTATGAACATTATGTTGTAAAAACGCAACGAAAAGAGGAAAGATGATTTTTGTTTTTACTGTCCCTGCTAATGGAAAAATAACTTTGCATTGACTAAAAAAAGAAAAAAAATTTCGGTTTGAAACACGTTCGAGGTATAATGGATATTGGGTGGTTTGGTGCACGAGGACGACAAAAGTGATAATCGGATCAGTTGGAGAGACGGGCGAGGTAATCGTGATTGTTATCGACGTATGTGCCAATAACGATCTCCGCTGTTGATATACTTACTTGGTAAATACCTGTAATAGAGGCTTTAAGAGTGACGGATGGAAATTAGGTTTCGTTAATGTTTTACACCCTTTTGTTACTTACATACCTACCCTGATTCAATGGTATAAGCTAGTTTTTATCGAGATGAACTATTTCATCCGAGAGTTTATTATTGTCTTACGTGCGAAGCTGTAACAGTATAGGTTTCAATCCAAAAGGGCACATCGAGCCATCCACACGGATAGATGTACTTATCGAGACACGAGCACCCGTCGAAGATAAACAAACGCGTGTATTAGGTACAAGGGGGCAAGGAACTGCCATTAGCTACATATTATATAAGCGCCACACTGGCGTCATATCAACACACGGGCAAAATCGCTGCACGAATCGCTCCTATAATTGCCAATTAGTCGCGTGGTTGTGCATTTCGCGTTACCGTGTCGGCGCTGCAATAACACTCTCTCTCTCTCTCTCTCTCTCGACCCTATCGCCTGTATATTCCACGTCTTCGACGTCGAGTCACCGATAACGACAACATAAAGCATTACGATCGAGACAGTTGAGCCTCGATATCGATTTTTTTTTTCTTTTTTTTTTTTTTGTTTTCGCGTTTTCCTGTCGATCACCTAATATTGCATAATGCTGGTCTATATTTCTTTTAGTTGACTATTGCAAAAGTAATGAAAACAAAAGTCAAACTTTGTAGGAAGAAAAACAAAAAGTACTCGGTGCTATGTTGTATCCTGTACGAGTGAGTGTTTTCACATACTTTTTGCTCACTTGATCGATGTACTCTTATCACTTGATGATTACAGATATGCTCATAAAATTTAAGATATCCTGAAAAAACAGTTAAAGTTTTCCTCGTCCGGCAGTTTGGGGGGAGCTTGCAAAAACCGATCAGACAAAATACCTAATGAGCGAACGTACATCCGCCGGTTCTCCAACTCTGCAGTAGAAAACGCGCGGCTTAGCAAGTCACTCGGAGCTTCGATCTTCGATACGCGTATACCGTCAACTATACACTCGGGCGAAAGACCCACATCTTCGCTTCATTTCCCCCGGTGGTTAAATATTAAAAGCTAGCGCGGTCCGTGTGGTATGGCGCTTTGGAGGAAAGATCTTTTTTTCCTCTTTGATCAGCCACAACGGGCGAGGAGGTATATTTTAGCCTCCACTCGAGCTTTTTGCCGAATGACTGCGCGCCATTGTATGTACATACGCGTGTACGCCGTTACATAGGGGGAAGCTTAACGACCGGGAGACTTTGGCCTTGGCTTGTTTTTTTTTTTTTTTTTTTTTTTTTTTTTTGCGGGAAACATGAGACCGCAGTGCTGCGTTTCGGTCCTTTTAAAAATACACTCGCGGCTATCTTTCTTTTCTTTTCTTTTTTCTCTCTCTGTGCAAGTGGTTGGTCTCGACGTCCCGAGGGTTGGCGCACTTTCCCGTGATCAAAGGCTTGTAGAGTTAATGACGGGGAAGCGGGTTGTTTTGCGAATCTTAATGGAGCCCTGTGTATATTCATTGCAGGAGTGGCGCGTTCGATATCGAATCGTCATGACTGTCCTTACGGGGAAATATTGGGTTTTTTAGGGCTCGGCTGCTCAATAGGATCGGAGTGCACTTTTTTCCCCGAGTAACCGATAACCGTTTTCCCAAATCATTTTTCAAGAGCGCGTACTTTCTTCCGAATGATTTTTCGGGGCAGTGATACCCCCGATCGTACATAGTTTGGTCTACGGGTGCGCTCGTTCGTTCCGTATACTGTTTCGCATATTTTTTACTCGCAATTTCCTACGTATATTTTCGTTTGAACCGAGAAAACATCATGGTTACTTACGTTGTCACAGCATTCGATTAAAGTAATTAAGTATTTGATGATGATAATTTGGAGAGGAGTATATTGGGAAAAAAAATGGAAATTTCTTTAATCTCACTTGGTTAATTTTTTTTTTTTTTTTCTTTTAATAACATAATTGATGTTAATTTGCAGAAAATATTTCGTTGGTATAGTTTTATGAAATATTTTTTTCAATGGACTACATTTTTTTGTACACAGATGTTAAAATAAGCAGGTGCCTATACGTATACTTTTGTGGAGGCTCGCTGCTAATAAAAGATATTCAACCTAAATAAGGAATTTTTTTTTAAATAACGCCCGTAGCTTTTATTTCTCTCTTCTAAATGCAGAGCCACACCACTACGTGTCTTCATACATGTATCGATCGACCCAGCATCCGTGCGAGCAAGAGGAAAGATTTAAATAGGCAAATATTCGTCGTTGATCAATATGCATACGTGAAGGTCCATGTATATACATGGAGGCAAGTACATACATCCATAAACGAAGAGAAAAAAACGGGACGAGCCAACAACAAAAAATTTATTACTCCATCGCTCTCTTCCTCTTGCGGTATGACCTCGGTTATTGATTGGACTCGGGAAATAAGTTATTAAGACATCTTACGGGGGACTTTGTGGCCGGTGTCCTGAAAGTTCCGAGTGTTTTGGTTCAGGTGATGTATTTTTAATTTATACGACCAGTAACTTGGATATTTATAGGTGGCAATAATAATCTTTGGCAGGCAAAGTGACAGTGTAGAAACCAAAGTTTTCTAATAATTTTCAGGGTTGAACTTTACCAGCCTTTCGGACAAGATAGTAATTTTGAGTTGTATAGGTATCTAATAACCCGAGACATGTATTGGCTTTTCTTTTGCTCGCGGAGAAATATTGGTCTACCAAAAGTACATGCATCCACAATTTGCTTGCACTGAAAATATTCACGTACAGCATCTTTATTTTTTTATGCGTAAACATCGTAGTTGGGCATACAGATGCGTACTTACATCGGAAATTCAGGGGTATGTACATTTCTGGAACGAAAATGTACCCTATATATTATACACACGAAGATTCTCGGTGTAAATAAACTGTGCACGCGAGAATACATTTTAACAATGTGTCGCTTTGTTAGAGAACTTTGGTACTTTAAGGAGGAAAATATTTCTCGGTGCATCCAATATTGAAGAAAAGCACTTAAGTTGCGGAAGGAGCAAGAAGGTCCATCCAAAAAGTTGAGACACGCGTCTTTGCTAAAACTTCAGATCATTAACTTTTGACATTAAGACCCTGAGATTTACGAAATGCAGGTCGACAAAAGGAGCTTTTAAAGTTACACACTGTTCAGACAGAAAACCCTGCTTAAAAAAAAAAAAAAAAAAAAGGAAAAAATAATAGAGTAATTGAATCAATGTCCGTTAACTCATATGTATACGATATGTACTCACGATACACTCAACATAAACTCACCGGTAGCCGAGCCAGAAGAAACAATAGACGAGGTCTCCTTGAGCGCCGAGTCCCTGAGTTGCTTCACCCGTCCGATGGGCTGCAAATTTTTGGCCAGAGGTACCGTTGGTGCGGCTAACGCCGACGTGGGGGGCAGCAGGCTCGTTGGCTCGATTTTCCTGCCGATCTGACCATCATGAACTGCAGTGGTTGTTTCGACAATCTCGGCCTCGTTTTCTTTACTTGGCGACAATGCATCGGTGCTCGTGTCCATGTTCCCTTCTGTGCAGAAAAGAAGAAAAGGGTACTGCCAGTCACTTGGGAGCTTTTTTGACGCGGTAACGAATTGTGTATCAGTTTGCGATGAAAAGCTCAAATATTTTTCAAAGTAATATAAGTCACTAGTTTCCTTACTCCTCGAGCACGTCTAATGTATTTTTTGAATTCCCCGCCTCGAAAGCTCCGATTGCCACGTGATTTGATGATTTCACGATGTAACCGTTAGAGGTCAGGACACAACACACCCATTACCGATCGCGATGATGAACAACAGCGGTTAATGTCAAAATCTCACTTACCCACAGTTGTCTGCAACCGGCGACTTGCATGAATTATATTATGTATACATTTTAAACTGTATTATAATGATAAGAAGGAGCGTACCGCGATCCAGGTATGAGTATATATATATATTACATACATGAACAACGAATATAGGGTAAGCTCGACGGGAGAAAGTAAAAAAAAAAAACCTTGACATTGCTCGGGCCCCAACAGTTGCTCCGCACGCAAAGAACTCTTTTCTCCTTTATCGCGTCTTTGTGCATGATGTACTTACACGATTATTTAACAAAAAGTCACCGTATTTAACTCCCAAAATGGGGGTGTTTGAGGGTAGATATGGGTCAAAGTGTTAGTTAATTGTTTTTTTTTTTTTTGTTTTTTTTTTTATAAATAAATGTACTCGTTAAAACGTCTGAACGTCGAGTAAAGGACGAAAAAACGAAAGAGGAAGGAATAAGATAGAGAAATGGCAAATCCATGGATTCGAGAAGTTGTACAATAAACGTGCGCGTGCGTGGCTGATATTATATGTTACAAGTGACTTGCATATACGTTGGAAGGCAGCAGCCGCTGGAAGCGAAGAACACAACACATAAGTATACGAGTAAAAAACGAGCCGACCAAGAGATATACGAGACCAGGAATCATAAAATCCCAGTTTTCGGGTGGGACGCAGCGCGGCGGCCTCGAGAGTTCCCGTTCGTTTGGATAATCGTTAGGACGAGGAAGGTGAGACCGAGCCGAGGCAGGAGGAGGAGGAGGGTCTTGCCGTTGGAGGTATACTCGAGAGAAGGAGATACACCGCTCGAAAGCTGGGTCCCTCCTGATCGAGGACTCGCTCTGGTTTACCCAGAGATTGGTAATTTTTGAATACTCTGCGGAATTACCTTTGCTTATGTATCCATTTTAAAGAGGACTCGCAAGATATCTCGATTAAAGACAAAAGATTATTGCAAGAATTGTCGACTGTCGGCAAAAGACGCAGATAAATTATTAGAAAAAAAATCACTGCGTTTCTTTTTTTTTTTCTTTTTTTTTTTTTTTATTATTCACGGCCGCATTGGAATTTTATACGCGGTCTGTAGGATAATACCGGGTCTGGAGAATACAAGCAACGCGAGTGAGTCACACCTGATATCAGGGGGATTGACGTTATACACTTAGAGAATGTTGTGTTTATGCTTACACGTCACTGTATTTATCAGGAGAAAGGGGCATTTAATTTTGGAGCAAATATATAATCATATTCTTCGCAACGGAGCAGAAGACGCGCGAATGCACTGTGTATGTGTATGTGTAGATGACAGAGAAGGATGGAGAAATGTGTGTGCAATGCATAACCTAAATGTGCCACTTACTTACTTACCTGATATTATTTATTAAAAAGAAAAATCTGAGAAAAATTCCGAGTCCAGTATGGAAAAAACCAGGGCCAGTCCGATCACCAATCCGATTATAGGCTCTTCATTTCGTTTAATGCCGCCTTTTGTTAACGAACGTGAGATTTTTGTAAAAAAGTCAATGCCACTCTCCGATCAGCTGTTTCAATGTCACGCACACCAACACACAGAGCGTAAACCGGGCCGTTCGGAGTTTCTATTTTTGCCGGGTCAACTGGAACATCTGCTATTTCTATTTTGTTAAGGACTGTATGGTGATAGATAAGGGGTTACTTCTATACACTGTATTGATTATAGTTACACCTGACATCGGTACCGACTCACTTTCAATCGATTAAGTAAACGACACTTAAAATGCAAAATTCCGTACACCTACATGCAAAGATATACCTATACGTTAGCTGTTTTCATTCATTCACTAAAAAATATCAACACATGTTTGCAATTGCATGACACACTTTCCCCCCACCCTTACAGTCTATGTGCGAGAGAGCGGGGGCATGTGACTTTTGGGCGCGAAAAGCACTGCGTTTGAATATCTATGCGAACATCGATATCTCGTGCTGCACGTGTAGTCGTCCATATTTGTCATAATTGTCAAAGTAATGGTTTGACAAACACATTTTTTTGTTTACTTAAATAATAAGGTATCCTCGTTTATGTTTTCCTCACTACTTACGCGGTAATATGATGTTATTCTATGTAATAAACAACAATGGAGTGTAGATATTTATGGGTTTTTATATAATATCTAAAATATAATTACTGTAGATTCAGAAGGTAAAAGTAAAGGAATTTTAAAAATGTATGCATGTTGCGTATAGAACTGAATTTTCGTATTGGTAGTAGGATAATAATTTCGGTGTTTTAACGAACTATTACCAAATTAAAATTGGTTAAACGTTGATCTGTGCAATTAATTACCATTTTTTATAACAAGTTCGTGTAAGTTGCCAGTTTATCAACGAAAGTGAAAAATTTGAAAGATGAACGCCTAAATAAAGACGAGCAAAGATCGCTGACCAAACAAAATGTGCAAACAATATTCAAGCATCAGTTTCCAGTACAGCATGAATATTTTGCAAAAAAAAAAAAAAGAACATGGCATTTGTTTGCAATGATTTTCCAATACGCGCTCAACTATGCAAACGTGCACCCTGTATTTAGTATACGTATTTCCACATCGCACTGCCGATTTGCGTGAAAATTAATAAATACAAGTAGAGAAAATATCAAAGCAAGTGACGATTATTATTCTGCCGTAAGTCACGAGCGCAGCGAACCATCGGTTCGCAAATGCTAATCCTTCGAACAAACAGATGTATAAAATAAACAAACTCCTCTCGGTTTCGGCTTATGCATATAATATACATAAGTACGCACCTCGACCCATGCCAAATCAAGTGTATTGTCGGCTCGTATGCGAGTTTTAGCGAGCATTTGCCATCACTTTATCTGCAATCGCTGCACATATGTATACTATACGTAGCACGTAAATTAGTGAATAAGAAGAAGAAACGAAAAGCCACTCACGAGCGCATAGCTGATGCGAAAGACTGCGTGGCTGTTTAGTCGACGGACGCGTGCACTGCAGGGAGATACTCTGTCGGATCGACTCTGCTCGTTGAAGCTATTAATTTTTCTTATTTTATTTTATTTTTTTTTTTTGCCGTAAAACGCGTGTTGTTTAACTACAGTGTATACTTAGGAGCCTACACAAGTGCGCGTTGAAGGTAATCTTTTTTTTTTTGTTGATGTTTATCGTATACCTATAGTGCATATATATGTTTTTGCGATAAATCGATCGATCAAATTCCTAATTAAAGTGAAAGCTTCTTAGAACCGATTATTGTTGCGCTGTCTACGCACACACTCCAATGCGTCGGGTGAGCGGTAAATTTTTATTTGATTCATCAAGCTCGATGAGCGCGGATCGACGTCAATTTCATGTCGAAAAAATGTCAAGTGACAAAGTGTCGAGGCTATATATAGAGCGCGATCTACACCTTCTTCCACGGGGATAAGCTTGCAACAATCCTTTCAAAATCCCCTCGCGCTCGTTTACAGAAGATGCGAGTTTTCGTGCGGGTTTTGTTGGGCGAATAACCGCGTGAATCGCAATAAATCGACGCATCGAAATTCCCCGCGATTTCAATACCCACTTGCGCGAAACTTAAATTACCTCGTTTTACGATGACGGCACTTTGTTGCTCCGTGAAATCAAAGTATGCGAACAAAATAATTTACCTTACAAAACCTGATAACCAAATTCGGGCTAGAGGGAAAGAAAAAACCGTAACACAAGGTCGTACTTATATAAAATATTTACGATCAGGATCGATGGTACGAGGTTTACCGATTCGAGACGGAGCTGTATTTTATTTACTGTCAACAATCCAACAAACCCCCCCCCCCTGCGATGGATCTGTCAATGATTTTATATTGTCAAAAAAGTGGACCAGCTTTTTGTGTATACGATCGGTTTAATGGAGCTAAATTTTCGCGCTCATTGAATAAACGAGTAAACTGCCGAATGACTGGACGCATGCAACAGTACGTGTAAGTATATAATATGTGGTACATTACGAGGTCGCCGCGAGCTTTTGTAGCTGTGCTGGATTATCATGTGTGTACCTATACGTGTTGAACGAGCACGTAAATGCCTTCTTGTATATGAATCGACGCTATAATCTCTCGATAATGAATCACGTTTGATATGGATTTTTTTCCCTTTTTTCGGTGCGCTAATGCTCGGGTGTCGGTAAAAATTTATAGCTGCCGTGTACACGCGTAGTTGGATGGTTTTATTCGGGAAATGACTCTCAAACTGGGTGGCCAAATGCTTCGTCGCTGTAAAGCACATTTCGTGAGTATAAGCTAAATTGGTGTTTGTGTGTGTGTCCTTTTTTTTCAATAAGACGTACAGAGAGTCGTCGAGAGTGTCGATATTTGCATACATGCTTTTTTCGTGTGTTTCGAGTAATGTCACAAAGTTTGCTCGGTGCTTGGCTTTGCGAGAATTTTCTTGGGTATACTGCATGTGAAGTGCTGTGGTGTGTATATTTATCATCTCAATTGCCGATTTTCGTCTTGTTAATGGATATTCCATGTCTATATGCTTTTGGAGTATTACCATACGTGCTATAATGTGTTATGCAAAGTTTTATCAACGACTGTGTACGAGAAACGCGGAGACTTTCGAAAGATTGCCAGAGATGAATTTTGTTTGACGAGTGTTTTTTTTTTTTTTTTTTTTTTTTTTTTCAACCATTTTCTNTTATGTATCCATTTTAAAGAGGACTCGCAAGATATCTCGATTAAAGACAAAAGATTATTGCAAGAATTGTCGACTGTCGGCAAAAGACGCAGATAAATTATTAGAAAAAAAATCACTGCGTTTCTTTTTTTTTTTCTTTTTTTTTTTTTTTTTTTTTTCAACCATTTTTAGTCTCAACTGTTTATTTTCACTTTGTGACCTTGGGCCGGTTCTCGATCTCAGACTCTCTCATGTAGTACCGGGAGAGAGAAAAATTTTGATAAAATCGACGAACCATCCATAGATTACGTTTTTTTTTTTTTTTTTAATGGCTACTTTGTACACCGATGAGTCAGGAATCGAAATAAATTCGTATTTTTAATTCACGATGCTAAAAGTCACCGGAAAACTCGATACCCCAAAATATTTTCAAATCATTAACATTTGCGTCACTGCAATTTACGTACCTCAATGATGTTTCATTCTTATTATCTTTTATCTCTTATTTAAAATGAACAAATGACTTAATGGCACTTTTTTCCATCATTCTATTTTTACCATTTCTCTAGATAGCCTTTTAAAATTTGTTCATGAATAAAAAACATAATAATAAACAAACAAAAAGTAAAAAATACTTATTATTCTTATCCAGCGCACTTGACAATTGAAACTCAATTGTTCTTATCGATTTATCGCGCATTTGTCGCGCACTATTGTAGAAAAAGATCTCCCAACTCATCGACTGGCCAACAAGTATCTAATCTCAGTCGTGTGTAAACATGTAAAAATATTTTCTCAACAACCAGCAGCCATATGCGTTTAAAAAAAAGAGGAGTAGACCCGACAAGGAGCCCAAGATGAGGAACATCGTCAAGATCGTCAACCTGATCCACACACTGGTCCAGTTCGTGGCGAGGGGATTTTTCCTCCTCGTGGCCTATCTGAGCGGGCCGGCCGAGTCTCAGCCACCGATCAAGGACCTCACGCTACTCCACAGCGCCACCGTGCTCGCTCTAAAAATAAGAACTCGCCAAGTAAGTTTTTTTTTTTCTTTTTTCTTCCATACCCCAGCCAACGCTTAAAACGAAAGCCACGAATATTATACATTTTTTCACCAGTGGCAAGTAAAGCATGACATCAACCGGTCAAGCATTGCCGTACACATGCTAAGTGACCAACAAACAAATTCCGACGCGGGCCCGAGATTTTTATCGCCCGACAGACTTTGAGGAATAAATTTGGCTGAAAAAGCATACGTGCAGTGGATTTCAAAAGAAACACGTTCCTCGCATCCAATTTTTCCTATAACTTTGCGAAATCCTTCAATTTGGAAAAATCCAATGCACTCCATGCGAACTCGCTTTGCCGTCAAACGAACCGTGTACTCGCAATGACATATTCAACGGCTCAAACAAAGTCCGTGCAAATATACGCGCGCATCGAGATTGCGTTGCGTAATCGGCAAAGTCCACAGACACCGACACAGAAGAAAAAAAAAAAAAAAAACAAACAAAAAAACTTATGCCTTGCAGTTATCCTCGGAGAGCGTCGTAAGATCCTACATCGAGAGAATCAAAGAGATACAGCCGACTTTGAACTGCATGACGGAGGACAGGTTCGAGGACGCGCTGAAGGATGCCGTAAAGTGCGACGAGCTGCTCAAGTCACTGGACAAACCCTCCGTTGAGACCCTCGCCAGAGACAAGCCGTTTTTCGGGGTCCCCTTCACGACCAAGGTATACATACATGACGTCGAGTTATGATGATCTTTCTTTCACCCGAGAATATATGTGTGTTATTTGTACGCGTAGGACTGCATTGCCATCGAGAACCTGAAACAGACCGCTGGTCTGGTAGCTCGCAGGAACTACCGGGCCGCCAGGGACGCGGAGTGCGTGAGACTGATGAGACTCGCGGGGGGCATTCCCCTCGCTACCACCAACGTGTCCGAGCTCGCCATGTGGTGGGAGAGCACGAACTGCATATACGGAACCACCAAAAATCCTTACAACACGAGGTGGGTCCAAATTGTAGAATGACATATATATATATACATTTGTCTCTCCACATGCTTGAGAGAAACCACGTGGATATATATTTTTTCTTCTTTTCTTCATCCAACAGGCACATCGTAGGCGGGTCATCGGGCGGTGAAGGTTGCATTCAAGCTGCAGGTGGATCCCCATGTGGGATCGGATCGGACATCGGTGGATCGATTCGCATGCCCAGCTTTTTCAACGGGATTTTCGGGCACCGGCCCTCCAAAGGTCCGCTGACATATGTGCTTTCGTTGGGCATTTTTTAAACATTTTTTTTATTTACCAATCTGTTTATGCGTTTAGGTGTCGTGTCTAACGAGGGCCAGTATCCAAACGCGTACACGGAGGAGCAGAACGCGCTCCTAGTGGTGGGCCCGATGTGCCGGTTCGCCGAGGACTTGGGGCCCATGCTGGGGGTACTTGCCGGGAAAAATGCCGAGCTGCTGAAACTCAACTCCAAGGTCGACATGTCGAAGCTCAAGGCACGTGTTTTAATTTTCCCCCCGATTTCAAATGATATGCTTCCCAACTGACTGGCGTCGTACCCCATCGTCAGGTGTTTTACATGGAGGACAGCGGCGGCGAGATGCTCGTGTCGTCCGTGGACCCGGAGATCAAGGAATCGATGCGGCGCGTCGTCGATTACTTCGAGAGGGCGCACAAGGTCAAGCCGACGAAGGTTGAGATCCGCAAGTTCAAGAAGAGCTTGTCGCTGTGGCTGGCCAGAATGTCGAGCCGCGATGGCAAAGACTTCTCGTACGAGATGAGCAACTGCACGGGCCGGCTGAACGTAGCCTGGGAGCTGCTCAAGTGGATCACGTTCACGAGCGAGCACACGATCGCGGCACTGGTCACGGCCACCTTCGAGAGACTGAACGTCGGCTACGGCTCCGAGCTCCATGGCAAGCTCAAACAGGAGGGGAAAGAGCTCCAGCTGGAGTTTCAGGTACAACTACCTTTTCACACCTCTCTTATAATTTTATCAATTTTCACAACAAAAATTTTTAAAAGCGTGCATTTCGTGACTCGCGTATTACCCCTTGTATATAGGACATGCTCGGCGACGACGGAGTATTTTTATATCCGACGCATCCCACCGCTGCCCCACTTCATCACGAGCCACTCGTCAAGCCCTTTAATTTTTCGTACACGTCCATTATTAACGTGCTCGCATTACCCGCGACCGCTTGTCCCCTTGGATTGGACAAGCAGGGCTTGCCAATTGGTTTACAGGTGAGAGTTTTTGATGGCAATAAAAATTAAAATAGATAGATTACACTCACAATAAAACACAATAAATAAACGTTGTCGTTGTTACGAACGCAGGTGGTGGGTGGACTTTACCAGGATCATTTAACGATTGCCGTAGCCGAGGAGCTACAGCGGGGATTTGGGGGCTGGGTGCCACCGGCGATAATCGAGTAACGCACCGATGCCAACTTCCTATGCCGAGGAAACAAAACAATGCCTTATAGACTCAAAAACCAAGGAAATTAGCTGCTGAACAATAAAGCCCCCTATTGCGACCTCTCTTGCTCATTATATGCGTGGACTTGACAAGCAGAGGGAAAACGGAAAGGGAGGGGGGATTGGGGTAGGGGGCCCAGAATAATACTGTTTTTTATATCTCGATTGCGCGACGCGAGGCTCGATTTTTTTTTCGGCCCGTGCAGATTATTATTATTATTATTATTATTATTTTAACATTTACTGTTGATGAATATCAGAAAATGCAATTGACATTGTTATAAGATGTTACAAATCGTTGTAAGCTTTTCTTTTTACTTTATTTTCACATCATTGAATTTCTATTTTCATAACAGACCTGTATAGCGATAGATGTGCTGGAACGGAATAATATATACGTATATGTTGGTTTAATTTTTATCAGATAAAATGGATATCGTGCGTTTATTTATTGATTCTTTGGACAAAGTTTATTTTATGTACGTATTTGTATGAATAAAATTGTGATTGTTTTTATCTGTTTCCAATAAACCCTCTTTTCCTTGTTTTTACTGTATTTTACCTTTGTCGTTGAAAAAAAAATTGGGAAAAATTTCATAAAGACGACAACGACACACGTCGTGCAAAGAAGTAATTTATTTTACATTTGTATTTTATACTCGTTCAAATGCATTTACATGGTAATAAACCTTATAATATAAAACGGAAGACACGATTCCGTCGCGTTGCGTGGAACAATCGTAAAAATCGCTCAAGTTATAAAATACCATAGACTTAAATATACGTGTGACACAACGTGAGGCATTGAGATTTTTGAAAACCCCAGCTATGGGAACGAGATTGCAGTAATACTTGTACATGTACAAATACTCACAAACGATTCATGTTTTCTTTTAGAATTTATTAAATCACAGTACTTGTATTTATTAGTATCTTATTCGAGAATAATCAACTGGTTAAACAGAAATCTATCTTACCGATGTCAAATGTAAGTATGTGTTATCAAAGCGATTCTTACAAGATGCAAACATAATAATCAAGACTCGTTTAGCGTGCAATAATTGTTGATCCGAAAATTGAAATATCGAAACGTGCCTTTGTGCTTGAATTAAAAAAAAAAAGCCTTACTCATCGGTAAGATAGACATCTGTAATTTTCAAGAAATCAAAATAAAAGTATCACATCCCGTTAAGTAACTTTTCCATGTCATGGTATACGATAGCGTACGTTTAAAATAATGAAAAAAAAAAACAATGTAAAGTAATAATGATAATAATCCTCGGACGCGCATACACACACACGTATGTATGATATATATGCGCAGGCACGTGTCCTCAGGTGGAGATGAGATTGCGTTTCTCTTCGGTCTCCTGCGGTCCGTCCTCGGCCGGCTCCTTCAGCCCATCACCGTTGAGCCTCTCCTCGTCGTCGAAACCGATCTCCACGTCACTCGCCGAAACCTGCATGGTTTTCATTTCTATCGCCACTTTGCCGGACGCGCGTCCACCCCTGCTTTCACTACCATCGCCAGCCTCCCGTTTCCCCGACTGCCTCGCCACATCGTCCCCCGCACTTTCGGACCCCACGGCACGCGGAGGTGGATCTTCGTCGCTGCCGATTTTCATTTTCGACTCGGCCTCCTTTACCGCCGTGTGTATGACCGGCTCGGCCCAAAGGCCAGGATTGAAGGCCGGGCCGGTCCCGCCCAGCTCCGAAGGCAATATGTCCAGGGGCAGGTGCTGGTGCAGCGTGCTGAGGTTGTTGCCGTGCAGGTAGATCTGTAGGGACGGATAAATCGGTTGACTGGTGGGGGGGCTCGGGAAGAGTTTGCACGCGTTATGTATACCTTTTTTCGGGTCTTGTCGTCGAGGAACGGCTTGACGAGGGCGAGGGTCGCCTGGACGTAGAGCGGCGCCGATATGAAGTGGATGGCCTTGAAACGCGCCGGGAAGCGGCCGCGAAGGGTCGATATCAGGTTGCGGAGGGCGCCGGCGCCCAAGGCGCCCCCCTGGCGCAGCGTGAACCCGCTCCAGTCCACCACGGCCACGAAACCGGCTTGCTGATTGGTAACGTCATGGACTGCGTTAGTCTTTTTTTTTTTTTGTTTTTTTTTTGTTTTTGGTGCGTTGATACGTTAAGGGCGATGGTATTTCGTACGTACCTGGTTTCTGGGGTCTTGAATCAGCGTCTCCAGTACCAAGAAGATGGCCCTCTGCACAGCCAGAGCTGGGATCGTTATGGAGTCCCATTGCGAGGCCAACACCACCAAGACGCACCGGCCTTTCCTGCGAATCATCGTTTACTCAGTGGTGGAAGCCATCTCATTGAGGATTATTTGGAGAAAAAAAAAAAAAAAAAAAAAAAAAATTAAGTAAAATTGTATTCTCAACGCAAGTGATAAAATAACAAATATCACATCACCACCATTGAAAATAAAAAAAAAAAAAGTCTGTCTAACAAATTATACGACAGTAAGGGATAGTACACCCAATGAGCAAATTAGTTTAGAGTCGTGTAAAATGTTGATGATCGTGTGGGGACGATAGAGTTGACATCTGTGCTTATGGGGACCGAGCATGATAAGTCTAATAGCGCGTACTGTGAGCTCGTATCGATTATCTCGGAAAATTCGATAGGTTGTCGTGAGCAATTTTGTTATCTGGGTGTACATGCGGTATGCGTGGGACAGCGGGAGGCTTTGTGACGCGAGATTTGATTTTTTTATCTCTGCAAAAATCGATAATTGCACTTGCTTGTGCTGGACCTGTAGCCCACCGACTTGAAAAAGGTTGATAATTATTAAGTTGCTTTGAAAGAAGATACGTTTTGCGGGTGAATGGGTAATCATGTGCATGTCTCATTCACTGGCCCGTGGGTATAAAAATTTGCAAAAAAAATCATGTTGTCGTGGTCGAGCTTTTTTTAAAAAATCACGAGATACAAATTGATAGACGAACAACCTGTCACGGGCAGGTAAGACACCGGGTATGCCAGCCCTGAGCGCTGCCTGTATCGTGGGGTCGCACGCCGTCAGATTGCCAAATATGTCCTGGCGCTGGGTTATTTGTGCCTGGTAGGCGGCTATCAGCGCCGCCGTTTGCTCCGTCCTGTACTTCCGCGCCAGCAGGAAGCGCGTGATGTACTCGTCCGTGCACTCTTTCAGTTCTGTTGCGGACCCGTGGCATCGTCATGCGCATACAAGATTTTTTTTTTAATGCAATTTTATTTTTGGAGAGCTATTGTTAAATGTTTATAGATTTTATGGCGTAAAAGATTCAAGTGTGTAACGCAGGTTTCTTAAAGCTTGTCATTCTCCAAGGAGACTAATTTTTATCGTTTGCTTCTTAAAACGATTTTTTCTTTTCCTTACACAAGTTTTTACAAAAAATTACTCTTGTCGTGGTATTTAATGGAGCATAAATGAAGCTTTCCGACTGATTTTCCTACAATCGGTTTAGCTGTATTTGCGTTATCCACAAAAACTACCACTTTTATTATATCGGTTATCAAAATCGGTTATGAAAATAATTATCATTAAAGAGCCTCCGAGACAGGTAGGACAAGTAGACGCAATGGGAAATTAAAGCTAATTGTAAACATAAACGATAAGAAAATTGTAATGAAATTAAAATAAGGAAAAAAAAAAAATTTTCTTAATTTAGAAGTGAACAAGAGTCCGAGGAAGCTTTGTGCCAATTATACGTAGTTCGTCGCCAATTTTTCTACCGTTGCAACTATGCTTTACTCGCTTACGCAATTTATTTGACGGAAGATATTTTTGAGAAGATGATTGATCGTACGTTACAGTCTACTGTCAGAAACGAAAGTATACCATATTGAAAGGCTTGAAAGAAAATTTCGTTATTAGACGTCTGAATCAGCACAACATTTAAGTATTTATCGGAAAATTTTCATTGAATGATTATACGTTTTTCCAGCCCGGAAATCGTCAGCTTCATTGTAAACCATGATTTTTTTTGTTTTTGTAATTAGGAAAAAAAAAAAAAATTTAATTTGTAAACAATTTTTATTGAAGTATTCAAGTTACTGCAAGGTAAAGCAAAAATGAAACTTAGTTTTTAAATGTATATTCCCGGCAAGCATTAATGAGCTCACGCAAGAGCCTCACAATCAACCATATCGTGGCGCAATAATTTTTTACAATACGCCAAATCACCAAAGGATGGTCTCGTGAACATAAAACCGTGGTATTTCTCAAGAGAGAAAATTTAGGCGAACTGTACTGCTTTGTTGTTTCTTTTTATCGATTTAAATAATTAAATAAGAAAAAAAAAAAAAAAAAAAAACAGGTTTTTGCATCAGCACAGTGTCATTGTTATTAATGAAATCAAGTTAGTATAACAAAAATATTTTATCGCTGACAGTGCAATGCACGTTGCGAATATTTAAGATAACGAAGAGCCAAACTTTCGTGAAGCGCGGAATCCGATGAAAAGTTATGTGTTGTCACTGCACATGTCCCGGTGATAATATTAGCCAAGTCAAATGTATGACAAAAATTTTTTCCTTTTTTTTTTCTTTCATTTTTCGCAAGTGCATTCGATTTTCCGGTGAAAAATCACTTGTCAAACTTTGCGCGGCTGTTATAGAGCTCAGCCCATTATGTGCAACAGATTATAACGCATGAAGGCGCACTGCACACGTAACGGACGCCGTGTTTTTTTTCTTTTTTTTTTTCCTACTCTTTAGACTGAGAGTTACTCAAGTTTCATGCACAAGTGCTTTACAATAGTTTTTCCTTTTTTTTTTTTTTTACCACCGTTACGTCGAATCGTAGCGCCATGTGTTTCGAAAAATCATAAAAACTCTCGCCGAAGCACGTCCCTTTCAAAATGCTACTTTTGTTTTGTTTTCCACTCGCAGCCCAATTATTTGGAACGCAATAAACAAGCGAGTGCGAATAAACCGATATTTTTGCAAATAAGTTATCCGGGCGCGAAAAGAAAAGTCAACAGTCGTCGACGCGTCGTAAAAATCACGTTTTTTTTTCCCTTTACTTATTACGACTCGCGTAAACCGCCAAGCCATACTTATGTGTATGCATATCATACCACAGAAACCGCCCGAGTTGGCGAGAAATATTTTACATCTTTTTTATTTCTTAAAAAAAGTAACTTTTATACCGATCACTCGCGCTAAAACGAGTTTCACTCGGACAACAGCGACCAGCCTCGCTTGAAATAAACAAAATACATATGTACACACTCACCGACACCAGGCATGTCCTGGAGCAAAGCTCTGACCGTCTTGATGGCCAGTTTTTTGTCTTTGACGCTGAACCTCTGCTGCTCCTCGTAAATGCAACGGGCGAGCGCGTGATTCGTGTGCCCTCGCGTCGGGTCCCACATGTACTCGCAATACTCGGCCATACTATGATCTACCTCTTTTTTTTCAATTCTCAAGCGAACAAACTCTCGATGTTTTCGTGTTCCCCTTGCACGAAGCGCACACAGGGCCTATATTTCCATTGTCCCCCGATCACCATCCAGTTGATAGGAACACGAAAACCCCAGCCCCACGGGACACGGGTTATACCACACACAGCAGGCTTCTCGTATATACTTATAAATATCTCGTGAGGTGGAAAACAGCGATCCAGCGTCCTGTAGCAGCGGGTGGCCGGCTTCCTCGGCTCGCCGGGCTGATGGAACTGCGGCCGCGCACAATGGGCCGAGCTGTCGTCGCTCGGTAATACACAGCAAGTAGTACAATGTTACATGGCAGGGTGGCAGTGCCGATCTCAGAGCGATGGTGGTGGCGAGCCGCGAGTCGTTTCGCGACGCATGTCGCCTCGTCCTCGCACCGCTCTTTCACCACGTGCTTATATATGTATTACCTGTATGGATAAACTATGAGGTGGTAAACTCTATCATGCAGGATGTGGCTGTGTGCAGGATATAAATATCTTCGTCAACGTGATCATATTATTATAGGTGCGATTCAGTTGGTCCTCGTGTTTATTACGTGTCTATCTGGTCATAACTCAGGTTTTTGCACCGATGGCTAATTAACACTATAATATGCTTGTGTAAAATAATGCCATGTCCGAGCCTAATGGCCAATGATTTATAAAAAAAAAAAAAATGTACATATAATATCGAGGCACGAATATTATTATTATTATTACATATGGGCACCGCTGTGCTTAAATGCAGCTCACCTCGTAGGTACAATAATATATACTTACTTGATGCCAGGTAGGTGTAAGTACTCGTATTAATACAATCATCATCGGAGCCGCGGGTCGTTGTGCCTTTTGTATGCTGTATTATAATATTGTGAATGCCGCGTGTGTAGCTGTGCGTCATCCATATACATATACGTACGTATAATATATTATATGCTCTTAGCGTGTGGGTGCTTTTGCAGTCGGACTACGTTGTTGACGTATACCTACGTGATACGAGTACGGCTGCCGAGCAAGAAGAAGAGCTGCAACAGAGCAAGGATACCAGTGTGTGGTTGGTATGGATATAAATATACAATAGGTGTATCAACCGTGTACCGTTACGTCAAACGCCTCTGCGGCTCTTTCTCTTTATTCGTGGGCTATAACCGTGACGCGCGGGGCAGATGTGTTAAGCTCTACTTTGCCTTTTTTTTTCTTTCCTTTCTTTTCTCTCATCCATCGGTTTTTTCGATGCACTGATTCACGCTCCTCGAAAACAACAGCAAAGTATCGCGGTTGGAGGTGCTCCGAGTGGAGGCACCAACGGTTTAACGATTGTTGGGAATACTTATATGCATATATGTACGCTGTTGAACGGACATTCAACTCATCATCCCGTCCGGGGATGAGAGACCAGGAAGGTGTCTCGCATTGAGTCCTCCAATGTTATCATCATCCCCGCACTTAAGGAAAAAAAAGGACATGAAGGATCGATTTACTTGATCGTTTGTTTGATTAAAAAAACAAAGCAGGTATTAGTGTATTCACTACAGCCGGACTATATCGCGTCCTCGAGCGATCATGCATACATATTACATACATTACGACTCCTCAAGACATACACGCGTATAAGTATGTATGTTCAGAGGCTGTTGTGTATAAAATCCACGCAGTTTGCGAAAAGGGAAAGTTGGCGCAACGAGCAAATTATCGTTTTTTAAAAATTCAACGTTGCACTTTACGAGTGAAATTCCTGGTTTGATTGATTTTTCTACTTCAAAGTCTATACAGGAAGTAAAAGACTCGCTGTTTTCTCGAGCATGTGTGTACTATTTTCGGATCTCCCACTTGTGGCAACAAAATTAATTTATCGGTGATGAGAGTTAACGCTTGTCGATGAATTTAATTTTTAAACAAAAATACGACTCATTCGCAAAATGGTCCCTACGGTACTTTGCCACGTGATTTCGCACATCAACTGTACACATATGTACAAGTAGCGCGTACCTCGAGACGTTTATTAGAGAATTCCTCGCGGTTTTCAAACATAATTTTCTTTTCCTTTCAAACCAGTGCTTTTGCCGTATTTTTCAATGCAGCTCAAGTCAAACAAGACGATAAAGTTTGAATGGCAACGAACAAGGTGCCATCCAATTTATACGTGTACATACAGCGTCGTACCGATAGACGAGTTCGATCGATTTTGCGTTTGTGCACGTGTTGCCGATATATATGTAATACGACAGATAGCGATCCAAAGGCTTTTTTTACCGATCCAAAGACGAATCAATATGACTATGATCAAACAACTGGAAAGGCTATATACATAAGAACCGGGCGAAACTTCCCACGTGGGACGAGGGGAATTTCCCAAAAGAACAAGAGTAGAATGTATAGATGACACGATGGAAAAACAAGAGGAACATTAATTTAGTGGCAATAGCATTTACCGGTACATACATGTATACGTGCAAGGTAATATAATCGAAGGTTTTTGCACAAAGGAATCGACGGAAAGTTAAGCAAGAGCCACTCGCAAAGGAAAAGGCGAGCGAGCGACGGAGGGAGGGAGAGAAAAAGAACAACAAGTCGTTCGAGAGCTGTGAAAAGAAAAGAAGAAAAAAAAAAACTCATCGGCTGACTCATCGGCACCCCTCTCTCTCTTTCTCGATCGCGAATCGTTTGTACAAGTCGATCTCGAGCGATCGTTTTCTACGTGGAGCCGTTCTCCGTTTCGCAAGATTTATCCGTAAGTAATATGCTTATGATGACGGCTTCGGCTGAAAATAAGAACAAACGGCCGCTGTCGGAGCGGAAACTTTCCACCGTTCCGTCTACGGCCTCGGGACTTACGAATTTTGTTTTTTTGTTTTTTAAGGGATGTCGAAGGTTTTCTTCCTTTCCTTCTCGAACGCGTGCTTCAAGTGCGAGAGTGTACCTGCCATTATACCGCGACCTTGACATTCTTTCGAGCTGCATGTGGGACTCTTAAATCGGTCGTTACATTGTTGTTTTTATACTTGACGAGATTTAGATGAAGATTAATCGACTCGTATGTTTTTTTCGATTTTTTTTTCATACGTGCAATTAAAATTGAAATACATAGAAGCGAAGCTCTACTCTCTTTTTGTTTGTTGGGGGGATAATCGTTGTTGGCCTTATTTTCAAACAAAGTGATAATAATGTTCAGCGTTATGGATCGGCGAGCTGCTAATTTAGAACTGGAGAGAGAGAGACAGTAATATTATTTCGTGCTAACCATATTTTTTAGTCTTTTGGAATAAAGTGTATCGTTGATGAACTGTAATAATAATTAAATGTGAGAGTAAAGGAACAAGACTTGCATGCACATGTATGTGTCTGTACTTGAATAAAAAAGTCACACCCTTTCCGGATCTTTTCAAAAATAGCCTTTAACAGCCTATTGTTGGTACGTGTACCATACTAAACGTTATTGTTTTTTTCCGGTTGAGCGAACAATATGTAGTGTTACCAACAATACAAACATAAGGTACATTGTAAATTGTTATATACATATAGCGTCATTTGGCAAAACCAATGGATCGTGATGGGTTTTTTATACGGTACATGAAAACTACGAATTGAAAATAATAAAGCTACTTGCAACGGGGCGATTTAAGACAAAACAACTTTATCGTGCTCAGAGAATTTGTATTTCAAAATATTTCGTCTTGTCGACTCACAGTGAAACTAGTTTACCATATTTGCTTTTTTTTCAAACAAACCTGTACTTTTTTTTCCTCAAACTTTAAAACTCTAAAACCATCTATCTATACAAAAATAACAGCGACAAGCGACAACAAATGAAAAATAGGTGACTTATTTGCCCTCGATTTATAAAAATCGGCCAACAAAACACGTGCACCACACATTAACTATACTTAGCGCAATTACAACTTTTCAACGAACAAAAAGCTTCAGCTAGACGGTAAAATGCACTGTTTGTATTGTACACTCGCTCCGGCAAAGAAGTCAGTAAATTTTTTTTATTAGCTCAGAGAAAAAAGAAAAAAAAAAATCGAGGAAAAAAGTAAAAATTGAGCAAAGCCAGTGACGCATAGTAATCGCGTTTGGATGATGCTGCATTTACTCATCATCGGGGTGTAGGTACTAAAAACAGCTCGGCAGAAACCAAAATACGATGTTATTCCTTTTTCCTTTGTGTAAGATAGATTTCTCTCGAAGAGGAGTAAAGTACTCGCAGGAAGAAAAAAAAAAAAAATCGTGACTCACCGAGTTTGGCGTGAAACGCATCCTATACGGGCGTATACGATAAAGGAAGCAAAAAGAAAACTATAGGTATTATAGAACAGCGGTGAAGGTCAGCGTGACCTGCGTGTGTATGTAACGTGTGAGGAAAAAAAAAAAAAAAAAACAGCAACCAACACATACTTATACTCTCCCACACATACACACGTGCAAGTAGGAATAAAAAAGGGAGAATCGTATGAATGAGCAAATAACACGATTTAATTCATACCAACGTACGCGTGAGATCCAAAAACGTGCAATGACGACACTTTGCAACACAAAAAGATGATTAAAAAAAAAAAAAAACAAAGAAAAATCTGTAAAGACCCTTAAGCTCTCCCGGTGTTTTGGTATACACTATAACCATTTTACTATCACTCACAGCACAAACAAGGACGATTTTCTATTAGCTTGTGGATAAATACTTTTTTTTTTTTTAGTCAAAATTATAATATATCCTGCGGTGGACGCAACAGCACTGAAACCGGTCACCGAGGGCCACGATCGATATACCTGCAGGTTTATTGAGCGACAATCGGCAGCTGTGCTTATGGTTGCGTGAAGAAATAAATGAAAAGAAATAGGAACAATAGCTACAGTAGCAACAACGAAAGGCGTCACTCGAAAACACCTGCGGGCTGTACTTGTATGTATACCTGGCGCTATAGAGTATGTATCACCCACCAGCCTTCCAACAGTTCCAACTGAACAGCCGATCGACCGACCGATGGGACGGACTATTCGTTTTCCGTGCTTTCGCACACCACCGCACTATAATATTGATACATATACGTACCCCGCTATACATGTATACACATGAAATACGCTTTGCTGGTGGTATAGGTACATCGTACATCTATACACTTTTGCACTTATATCGCGGCGTCGGCCATTTTCGTTGCCAGGAAGCGCGCTACAGTTACGCGTTATACAATCCGCAATGATTGACGGACAGAGCTTTGGTTTCTTTTTATTTTTTTTCTCCCCCCCCCCCCCCTCCTGGGCTTCTCTACAGTACTTATGTACGTACCAACGAATGGAACCGTCGACGTATAACACAATTATACGTGTAGAATGAAAAAATTTTTTTTTAAATAATAATAAGAATAAAAAATGGCTCGTAGTGGCAAATAGTGTGCAGCGAGCGTGGCGGCTGTAATGACGGCTGACGCGTGCAACAACAATAAGAGGACGTGTATGTATGCCTCGGTACCGCACACGGTGCTGCGATAATATTATGCTTTTGCTATGTCGAAGTGACGACGCTGGGCTGATTTTCGCTATCTCTCGGGGCCCGATGCGCCTGGCTGGCGTGGCGCGACCCAGCGTGCAGGACCTTCAACGACATAATATAGTGTGCCGAGCTCTTTGTGGTGTACGTATATACGACACAAATCGATTCAGCCCAAAAGTTTTTCGATTCATCCGTTTAATCGATGGCTGAACCAAGGACTTTTATTCACCTGCAGGTTCGCAGGAGTTGGAACGTTTTTTTTTCTTCATGCGCGGAAAGATGTTACTACTCGGGTGTATCAATGTGCACGAGATATGAAGATTTTAAGTGAATCAAAAGTCAATACTTACGAATGAATGAGCTCATGGTAAAATTGTAAGGGACATTATACGTATATAACACAATGAAAAATCGTAGTAGTGATAATATTTTGTGATAATTTTGTTAACGCAATAAATTGAAAAAAAAAAAAAAAAAAAAAAAAAAAAAAAAAAAAATGATCGAGTCTGTTTAAGAGACTTCAACAAAAGAAAAATGTTTAAAAATCAAAAGAGCGCGAGATTTTTTAGAATCTCTTTTTTTTTTGCGAAATGTCAATCGAAGTTATGAAAAAAAGAAAGGTGTTTCATCAAAATTTGAATTGCGTTCTATCGCTTAATAAAAAACAAGTTTACTTATGTTAATACTTACGTTACTCACCTTATTTCAAGAGACCTTGAATAAATTATTTTTTATCTTTACACCAGC